GAGAACCCTGGGGTTGGCAGGCCTTTGGTGGAGGTACTCTGGGATAGGCAGAGGCACTAGGATCCACCTTCGGGGCCCTAGGGCCTCTGGGAATGTACAATGGGTAGGGCAGTGGTTGGGGTGGACAGGGGCACTGGGAATAGGCACTAGAAGTTACCTCTAGCGCAGGCAGTGGCTCTGAAACTGGGCACTTGTGACAGGCTTTGGGGTAGGCAGGGGATTTGAGGCAGCAGGGACAATGAGAACAGGGGTTCTGGAGATGGGTACTGGGGTTCTGTTTTTGGACAAGGCTCTGGGTTAGGAAGAGACTTTGGGGGGTGGGCACTGGAACCAGGCTCTGATGTGGGCAGGGGTTTAAGGGCAGGCACCAAGGGCTGGTCCTGGGACAACCAGGAGCATTCAGCTCAGGCTCTGGGACAGGCAAAGCCTCTGGAGGTATATACTAGGGTCAGTCCCTGGGCCATGCAGGGGTACTGGGTATGGGCCCTGGGGCACACGAGACTTCTACGGCAAGCAGAGGCACTGTGGGCAAGTCCTACAGCAGGCAAGGGCATTGGGCCCCAGCTATGGGGCAGGCAAGCATTGCAAATGAGGGGGGTCACTGGGGTCAGACTCGGGGGGGCGACTAGGGGCAGACAAAGGACTGGGGCTTTGAGGTGGTCACTGAGAGCAGGCTATGGGGTGGATAAAGGCTCTTGGGGTGGGCATCTGGGAAGGGATGTGGTATAGGCAGAGGTACCATGGATGAGGTCTAGGGTAGGCAGGGGCTCTGAAGGTGGGAACTGGTGGGGGGGACCCTGGGTTAGGTAAGGATTCTGGAGCAGGCAGGATCACTGGAAGTGGGCTCTGGGGAAGACAAGGGAAGTGAGGAAGTCAGGAGCTCAGGAAGGGGGGTGATCATTGGGATAAGGCTTTGGGGTGGATATGGGTTCTTGGGGTGAGTACTAAGGGTAAGCTCTGGGATAGGCCAGAATTCTGGGGTGGTAGTAGACTGAGACTTAGGTATGAACAGATATTCTGGGAATGGGCTCTGGCAGGGCCACAGGAGTCAGGTTCTGGGGCAGGCAGGGTCTCTGAGGGATGGGCACTGGGGGCAGGCCCTTGAACAGGGAGAGGTACTGGCCTGGCTCTAAGGTGGGCAAGGGGTCTGGGTATGGGCACTAAGAAGAGGTCCTGGAGAGAACAGGGACAATGGGGGGGGTAGGCACTGGGACCAGGCTCTGGGGTGGGAGGGGTACTAGAGGTGAGCACTGGCACAGGCAAAGGCTCTTAGGTGGGCACTGGAGAGGCCAGGGGTGCTGGGGAATGGCACTACTGTGAGAATCTGGGGCAGACAGGGGCTCTGAGAATGGACACGTGTGGGCCTTGGGGTGGGCAGAGCCTCTGAGGCAGACAGGGGCACTGGGAGTAGGTACTGGGGTGAGGCTCTTGGACCAGACTCTGAGGTAGGAAGGTCTGAGAGTGATCACTGGAACCAGGTTCTGGGATGATCAGGGGTTCCGGTGGTGAGCACTGGGGTCAGGGTCTGGGTCAAGCAGGGACACTGGAGGCAGACTCTAAGGGTAGACTCTAGGGCATACTGGACTTTTGGGGCAGACAGGGGCACTGTGGATAGGGTAGGCAGGGGCACTGGGTCCCAGCTCTGGTGCAGGCAAGCACTGGGGGTGGTCACTAGCATCAGGTTGTGGAGGTTGGGACTAGAGAGGGCAAGGACTCCAGTGTGGGTAGTAACACTGGGGATGGTCACAGGGAAAGAGACACTGAGATTGAGCTCTAGGAGTCACCTCTGGGGCAGGCAGTGGCTCAGGATGGGCATTTGTGGCAGGCCTTGGGGAACACAAGGCTTCTTGGGGCATGGAGGGGCACTGAGGTGGGCTGGAATTTTGGGGCAGGCAAAGACACTGGGAGTGGTCACTGGGACAATGCTCTGGGGTAGGCACTCGGTGAAAACCTTAGGACAGGAAAGAGTTCTGGGGGCAGGCTCTGAGAGAGGCAGAGTCATTGGGAATCAGCTCTGAGGTTGGTAGGGGTACTAGGGGTCTCCTCTGGGGTAGGCAGTGGCTTGGAGGATGGGTATTTGTGGTGGCCCTTGAAGCACGCAGGTGCACTGAGGAGGGCAGGGGTTCTGGAGGTAGGTACTGGTAGTAGCCTCCTAGACTAAAGCTCTGTGGTAGGAAGGGGTTCTGAGGGTGGGCACTGAAACCAGGTTCAAAGGTAAGATTGGTACTGGGGGTGGGCTTTGGGGGAGGCAGGGCCAATGGGGGTGAGCTCTGGAACATGCAGGGATTCTGGGGGTTGGCACTAGGGAGGGCAGGGGCTTTGGAGAAGCCAAGGACATCGAGGGTGATCACTAGGACAAGGGCTTCTGGGGTTGAACAACGGATATGGGCCCTAGGGCAGGTAGGGGGCACCAGAGTCAAGCTCTGGACCAGGAGGTGTTGCTGGAGGTGTGCACTGGAGTCAGACCTTGGGGAAGGCAGGTGCTAGGGGATCAGGCTCTGGGGCAGGCAGGGGCCCTGGGGTTGGGGAGGGGGGTGAGCACTAGGAGAATCAGGGCCAATGAGGGTAGGCTCTGGGGCAGCTAAGCACTCTAGGGGTTGGCACTGGGTAACTTGGGATTTGGGGCAGGGGCACTGGAGCTAGGCTCTGAGACAAGCAGGGACACTGAGGGCAGAGGTTCTGGGATAGGCACTGAGGAGGGCAGAGGGTCTGAAGTGAGCAGTAGCACTTGAGATGGGTACTGGAAACAGGTTCTCAGGTGGGTAGGGGCTCTAGAGTTGGGCACTGGTGGTAGGCTCTGAGACAGACAGAGCTCTGCAGCTGGCAGGCGATATTAAGGTTGGGTCATAACACAGGCAAGGACACTGAGGCCCAGCTTTGTGGAAAGAAGGAAATCTGGGGGTGGTTACTGGGGGCAGGCTCTGGGGCAAGCACAGCCTCTGGGGAGGAAGGGTTTCAAGGGACAAGCCTTGGCACATGAAAGGGTACTACAGGTAAACACTGGGACAAGGCTCTGGGATGGGCAAGCGCTCAAAGGGTGGGCACTGAGAGGGGGCCTTGTGGCAGGCAGGGCCACTGGGACTTTGGGGCAAACAAGGGCAATTGGGGTGAGTAGTAAACTGGCAGTAAACAGGGAGGCCTTGGGCAAGGCTGGACCTCTTGAGACAGGCAGAAGCTCTTGGGTTTCAGCACCGGGGGCAGGTCCTGGTACTGGCAGGGTCATTGGGATTCAGCTCTGAGGAGGACAAGGGCAGATAGAGGCACTAAAGGTGGGCAGTGGGACCAAGCTCTGGGAACTGGAGGCAGACCCTGTAGCAGTCAGAGGCACTAGGATGGGCAATGGAGCAGGTAATGGCTCTTGTTAAGCACTGGAAGTAGGTTCTGGGACAGGCAGGAGCTTTAGTGGTAGTTACTAAGAGTAGGCTCTGGGGTGGGCAGGGTCTATCTCTGGGGATAGCAGGGGCACAGTGGTGGGCACTGGGATCAAGTTCTGGGGTGAGGGCTGGGGTTGGGTTCTGTGGCAGGCAAGAGTTTTGGGAATGGGCATTTGTGAGTGGGATCTGGGGCTGACAGGGGCACTGTGGTTAGTGGTGGGCATGAAGGAGGAAAGCACTGAGGGCAGGCATTCAGGAAAACAAGGGCTCTGGGATGAGCAGGGACACTGAGAGTAGACACTGGGACCAGGATCTGGGGTGGGTAGGGGCTGAGGTTTGTTACTGGCAAAGACATGGTTTGGACCCTGGGCAGGGAGGGCTTCTGGGGGTGAGCATTGGGGCAGGCATGGGCACTGTGAAAGGCAGAAGTTCTGGAAAGTGGATACTGAGTAGGTGCTCAAAGACAGGTAGGGACCCTAGAGCTGGGCACTGAGAAGGAGAGGGACTCTTAGTAGGCAAGGATACAGGTTGGGCCCTGGGCCAGGCAGGGCCTCTAGGGGTGGGCACTTGGGGCAGGCAGATCTGGCACAGACAGGAGCACTGTAGAGGGAAGGAGTTCTGGGGGGTAGACACTGAGTAGGCACTCTGGGACACGCAAGGGAACTGGGGCCCAGCTCTGGGTTGGGGTGGGAGGCTGGGAGAGGGCAGAAATTCTGAGCCAGGAGACTAGGGGTGGGCACTGGGACAGGCAAGGCCTCTGGGGTGGACACCTGGGCAGGCCTTGCGGCTGGCAGAGGCACCGTTGAAGGGTGGGGGTTCTGAGGGGTGAACACTTGCTGGGTGCCCAGCAGAAGGCAGGGGCACTGAGGCCCGGCTCTGAGTCCAGCAGAGGTCCTGGGGGACTGAAGGACACTGGGATTTGGCCCTGGCACATGCTGAGCCTCTGGGGCTGGACACTGGGGATGGGGGCAGAAACGGGAGGTGAGTGCTGGGAGCAGTCTCTCAAAGGCTGGAGCTAGGGGTTGGCCCCAAGCGGAGGGGTAGGGGGGTGGATTTGGAGAGAGGTAAGGGTTCTCCGGAGTGGACACCGGGTAAGTGTCGTAGGAAAGCTGGGGAACTGGGGCTCTGGGTCCGGACACTGGGACCACGATCTCTGGGGCACTGAGGATGGACTCTGGGGCAGGCGGGGGCACTGGGAGAGAAGCTAGGGCGGAGGGCACGGAGTGCAGATCCGGGGACAGGTGAAGCTCTTGTGAGGGTCCTCTGGCAATGGGCACTAGGGAACGGAGAGGTCGGGGGCGGACACGGGCCGGGGGTGGGTAAGGGCTCTGGGAGCGGGGCCTGGGGCTGGCCGGGGCACGGAAGTGGGCCTCGTCGCAGTTGGGAGCCATGGGCCGTGGGCACTGGTGGGGGGGGGGGGGGCGGGGGGGCGGGCAACGGGGCCCGGACCGCTCGGGGGGGGGGGGGGACGGGAGCCAGCGAATCTGGAGGGGAGGCCGCGCTCGCCCGCACGGCCTGAGTCCCGAGGCAGAGCCTACACGCGGAACGCCTCCTCCGCGGCCCGGTCCGGGCGTGGCCTTCACCGCCGCCAGGCCCGGGCTCGGAGCTAGGAGCCCAACCACATACCCGCCTACAAGCCACGGTCTAGTCCTGCCGAAGCAGCTCCGCGTCTGCGTCTGCGCAGTCAACTCTCCCGTCACTTGTCACCGTTGGTTTGACAGCTGCGCAGGAGACAGCAAGCAGAGAACGGCTCCGCGGACTTTTTGTCGCCCTCCTCGAACGTCTGCGCGGCGCGGCAGGCTATTTGGTCCTTCTAGAAGCTGGGCGTGGTCTGGTCTGAGTTTCACCTTTGTGCTGGGAGGAGGGAAGCCGAGAGAGTCAGTAGAATGGAAACTCCTTGAGAGCAGGGACTGTTTGTGTTTTGTTTTGTTTTTTGCCTTTGTACCCAGTGACTGACCTATAGGTGCTTAATAAAATGATTATTGCTTGACAAGATTATATACATACACAGCTACATTTATACATATATGTAGGTGGGTGTGTGTTTGTGTCTGAGAGAGAGAAAGTCACTGTGACTCTGGGCAAGTCCCTTGAATTCTCTGATCTTTAGTTTCCTCATTTTTGAAAATGGAGATAATAGGAGCAACTATCTAACAGTGTTATTTTGAGGATCAACTGAGCTGATGTTGCTAAAGTGCTTTGCAACCTTGTTACTGTATAAATGTCAGCTATTTTTAAGAGGGTTTAGCTTTGTTTACCATGGCATCCTTACTTAGGTCTATGTCCCCCTAATTCAGATCAGCCTGTTCTTCAGTCATTCTGTAACATTAATTGCCTACTCCTACAAGGTGTGAAGATGAGTTATTAAGATGCTATGAAAAGAGGGATGGAGCTGGGTTCAGGGGACCTGGGTTCAAATTCTGACTCTTTCAATGTGACATTGAGCAAGTTACGTAAGGGAAAAATTAACTACTCTCTGTAAAATAAAGGAATTGGACTAGATGGCTTCTAAGATACTTTCCAGCTTAAAAAAAAATTAATCATACCCAGAACCTTAATTAGGAATTATTTCACCTAAGGTAAAAAAATAGATTGTTGTTGCTGTTGCATATTTAGGAGGAGAGGATGAGAGACTTGGTCGGCAGTCCCACTGCCAATAGAAGAAGGAGAAGGCACAATCTGTACCTTGGAAAGTCCCGCTCACCACTGAGGAGGATGGGGAGAGATAGTGGCACCACCTCCTCTTTCCACAGGAAAGATGTGCTTTGGTGATAGGACTCTGAGGATGTCTGACAAGGGTCATACCTCAAGGTAAGGGAGCAGAGACATACAGTGTTTAAAAGTACTGAGCTGTTAGAGGACGATGAAATTCAGGGCTTTGGGATATCATGTTACTGTGGAAAAGAAACGTGTCTTCCCTTTCCCAAAGAAGCACCCACGCCCTTGTCCTGGAAAAGCCCTGATTGCCCCACCGTAGTTACAGCTTTAATGATCTTGTCCACTACAGCATAGCTTCCTGAGAGAAGAGATCTCTGTACCCAGTAAAGTGCCTTGCCCCTAGTAGCTATTCAATGAATAATTGCTGAATGATTGAATGGCTGACCAATGAATCAGGACATTAAACAACAACAACACATACAATAGCCTAACAGTTTCAAGCTGCAAGCCAAGTAAGTGATGTGGACAATAAGACTGCCTCAGTAGTTCATTGGAGGGGGATATCACTGTAACCTGAGGTGGTAAGGGAAAGCCTGATAGAGAAGTAAGAATCAGCATAGCTATAGTGGAGGGCTCATTGATGTAGAAGAGTAGAGGGTGATGAGGTTGAAAAGGTAGGAGCAAAGGTGCCTCATCTCCATCCTATTAAACCTTTTCAGGAAGAAGGGGTACTTATTTTCCCAAAGCCTTATGATCATTGAGGTTAGGGATGGGGGATGCTAACAGTGATGATCAGGAGGGCAACAAATGAATGAGGCACTGCCATCAGCTTTCTTCACCTCCATCCCCTCCCTGCTTCGGAGACAGGGAATATCAAAGAAGGTATGTGGCAATGGTAAAGGCTTGGAATACGTACCAGGTAAATATGGTGATCAACTAGTAGCTTCGAGTCTACTGGTATAGGCAGTTGGGAGACACTGAAGGGCTTTGCATCGGTAGTACTATATAAGAAGACTCACCTGAGTTCAGCATACAGAATGGAACAGAGCTTATGGTACCACCTCATGGCAGAAAGGTGGAGGACTACTGGGGCAGAAGGTTATTTACATGACAAGACTCTCAATAGTGTATGCGGTGTTTGGGAGATTGAAAAATGTAACTTGTTTTTGGAGTATTTTTGCTTAGCTTGTTTTTTCTTTTTTACAAGGGAGGGTTCAATGGGAGCAGGAGTCCAGAAATAACTGTGATGTAAAAACATAAATGTATAAATAAAACTTAAAAAAAAAAGAATGGATATGAGGAGGAGAGATAAGTAGGGGGAGGAGACTAATTACAAGGTGAGTCATTGATTTTTAAATTAGTAGTGCATGTAAAACTTTTTAATAAGAACAACAAATAGTTTTAAATGTATTATTGAGCTCTAAGATAATTTCCACATCTAAGATCTTATTTTTTTCCTGCTTTCATTTCATTGGGTGGGAACTGGATTTATCTCAATGACCTATATAATTTCATTGGTATAGTTGCCTAATGTCACACAGCCAGTATGTACCATCAGTGGGATTTAAACCCCAGTCTTCCTGCATTCAGGTGGTGATGTGGATAGAGTGCTAGGCCTGAAGTCAGGAACTCATCTTCTTGATTCAAATCTAGCTGTAGACACTTACTAGCTGTGTGACCATGAGCAAGTCATTTAATCCTGTTTGTCTCAGTTTCCTCATTTGTAAAATGAGCTGGAGAAGGAAATGGCAAACCACTCCAGCATCTCTGCCAAGAAAACCCCAAATGGGGTCACAAAGAGTCAGACCCAACTGGAAACAACTGAACAACAACCTTTCTGCATCCAAAAACATCTTTGTGCCACACTACCTCACAATATGATTTTTTCACATTATGCCCAAATAAATGAGTGGAAAAAGGGATAGACAGCCTGAAGAGGAGTCAGGAAGACCTGGGCTCAAGCCTTCCTCTGAAACATATTGGCTGTGCAACCACAACAAGTCAACTTAATTCTCCTTGTGCCCTAAGCTAAAACTGTAAATTTCAGAATAGATGCGCATCTGTTTTGGCAAATGGTGCTTCCTCACTGAGAACTCCCTATGCCAATGAAATCACTGGTCCAGATTTTTTTAAAAGCCTCAATAAAGAAGTAAGAAAAAGGCAAAGATGGAGACAAAGACAGAGGAAAAGTGTGATGTACCTCTCAAAAAAGAGATGTAATACTGTAATCATAATATAACTTTTGCTGATAAAAGCTTTGAAAAATACATTACAACAACTTTGTTGAGATAAATAGTTCAAGTAGTATGATTCCCATTTTCCAGATAAGGAAACTAAGGCCCAGGACTTAAATTGGCAGAGTTGGAATGACCCTTTCACAAAAGCTGGAAGATTCCTACCCAAGCTGTGATTAGTTGTCAAGGTAACTTTCCTGGGAACCTCTGGCCATTCTTGTCTGAGGCAAAGGTGAGAGGACCAGAGGAGAAGAGGGGAGAAAAAGGAGGATGTGCATAGTTCAAGGCAGATGGGTTCATATCAACACTGTTGGCACTAAAAAAAAAAATTGCTCTCCAGGCTTAGGGAGTGGAATGTTCTGCTAAGAGTCAAATGTTTCAATACTTCATGAGTCTTGTGATTTCATAGATATGGGGTACACTTTGCCCTCCATCAATATAGATCAAAATCTCTCTACTCCCTAGTAGATGTTTTCCATGAATTGCTGTGCCTGAGAAAATTCATCCCCTGTTTGGGCAATGCTCTAATGACAAGCCTTTCTGAATTTAACTTAATCCTGGAGTGATAGATTTATAGCTAGAAGGGGTCTTGGATTTCATTTAGTCCAATGCTCTTATTTTACAAATGAAGAAACTGAGCCCAAAGAGATTAAGTGCTTTGTCCAAGAGTAGTAAGTGAAAGAGGCAGGATTTGAACCCAGGTTCTCTGATTCCAAAGAAGGTGCTTTTTCCACTGCACCATGCTGCCTCTATAATGATATGACCAAAGCTCATGCTCCCAGTTCTACCTGTTTGACCTTAGGCAAATCACTTAACATTTATTGGCTTCATTTTCCTTACTTGGAAAATAAGTGAGTTGGACTTGATGGCCTCCAGTGCATCTCCAGATCTAAATCTATGATCTCATCAGCTATACTTGAAACCTTTCCTTCTTTATAGGATCTGCCAAAGCTCATGCTCCATTAGCACCTACCTGCCAATGTAGTCATGTAAGATATGTGCGGTCTCAGAATGCATAAATAGCGTCATCATCACCATCACTGATTTAGGTAATTTTTGTTGTTGTTCTGTCACGTCCAATTTTCCATGACCCCATTTGGGGTTTTCTTGGCAAAGATACTGGAGTGGTTTGCCATTTCCTTCTCCAGCTCATTTTACAGATGAGGAAACTGAGGCAAACAGAGTTAAGTGACTTGCAGGGTCACACAGCTAGTAATTGTCGGAGGCTGGATTTGAACTCAGGAAGATGAGTCTTCCTGACTCTAGGCCTGGCACTCTGCCCGCTATGGCGCCACCTAGCTGCCTGTTTTAGGTAACTGGCATTTATATGCTTTAAGATTTGAAAAGATTTGAAATATCTCATTTGATCCTCACAACAACCCTAGAAGGTAGGTGCTAACATTATCTCTGTTTTACAGACAAGGAAATTGAGACAGGCAGAGGTTAAGCAACTTGCCCAGGGTCACACAGCTAGTAAGTATCTGAGGCCAGATTTGAATTTAGGTCTTCCCAACTCCAGGTCCAACACTCTGTCCAAAGCCCTTTACATATCTTATCTCCTTTGACCATCCGAGTCACCCAGGTTTACAAGCTTGGTATCATCCTTTACTCCTCACTTGCTCACCCTACATCTCCAGTCCATTGCCAAATCATCTTTTTTTCTTTTCACATCTCTCCTGTCCTTTTCTCTCCATTCACAAGACCACCACCCGAGTTCAGCCCCTCATCACCTCTTAACTGGACTATTGCAACACACTCCTAGTTGCTCTCCTTTCCTCAAGTCCCCTCCATCTCCACCCCCGCCTCCAATCCATCCTCTACTTAACTGCTAAGTGCCTAAAGCGTTGGACTGACCTCCTCTACTCAAATCTAATCCA